AATTTTTTATGGAAAAAGGAATTTATGGGAAAGGCAATGTATGGGACAGGGAATTTATGGGAAAGGGAATTTATGGAAAAGAGAATTATTTATGGGCAAGGGAATTATTTATGGGAATGTATGGAAAAGGGAATTATTTATGGAAAAGGGAATTATTTATGGAAATGTATGGAAAAGGGAATTATTTATGGAAAAGGGAATTATTTATGGCAATGTATGGAAAAGGGAATTATTTATGGGAATGTATGGAAAAGAGAATTATTTATGGAAAAGAGAATTATTTATGGAAAAGGGAATTTATGGGAATGCAGGGGGTGGAACATGGGGGCTGTAATGAGGGGTTCATGCAATTCCCAAGGGATTTTTTTTTTTTTTTTTTTTGGGGGTGGGGAGCAGGGAATGGCACTCACCTTAATGCAGCCAACTATTGTAGTTGTAAGAGCAGAGTTGTACTGAGTGCAAAGAACTGTGGAATACATCAAAATAAACCTGTGGGAAAGAGCCCAACATCAGGGACAACACCTTGGCGACCACCTCGGCCCCACCCTGGCCATGGGAGGTGTCCCTGCCCTTCAGGGAATGAGGGGAGCTCAAACTCCCAACCCAGAGCTGCATTCCAGGATTTATTCCCTGATTTATTCCCATCCAATCCCCAGCAGGATTTTATCTCACTTTTTTTTTTTTTTTTTTTTTTTTAAGCTAAACCCGCACTGGAGACGAGTTGGGAGAGAATTCCCACCCACCACACCTCTCAGGAATGGTGTCCCCTAAGAGCAGTGAGGATTTAGGGTGATTTTTAAATAATAAGACACCACAATTCCCCATTTCTGGAATGGGAAATGCTTTCCCTGGTGGCAGCCCAGGCCTTACCCCATCACACAGGACAGTGTGAACTGCACGATGAAAAACGTGTCTGCCCAGCCCTGGAACTCCAGTGCCTGCAGGGAACAGCAGCTTTAAGGGCCTTGGGAAACCACACAATTCCCAAATAAACCTCCCAGAGTCGGCCTGCACCTCACAGCAGCAAAAAAATCAACCCAATTCCCAAGCTGGAATGAGAATCCGAGGCTGCAGCCTCAGCACCCAGCTCATCCCTCCTGAGAGCTCTGAGAGCTCTGTGAATTCTGTAAATTCTGTAAATTCTGTGAATTCTGTGAATTCTGAGAGTTCTGTGAATTCTGAGAGTTCTG